TATGCACTTTCATAAATCGGAAATGTGCTGATTTTCAACTTTGTGAATTCTTCTTGTCCTCTCTTTATGGCATTCAGTAGTTTTAAGTAGTTGTTTTAAGAAAATAATTAAATCAAAAGGTAAGTTCTCCAAGGGCTCCTGGGTGGCTCAGCCAGTTAAGCATCTGATTCTTGGTTTAGGCCTAGGTCATAATCTTGGGGTCCTGGGATCGAGCCTCACATTGGGCTCTACAGTCAATGTTGAGTCTGCTTGAGGTTCTTTCTTTTCCTCTGCTCCTCCCCTTGCCTGTGCTCTCTCTCTCTCTCCCTCTCTAAAATAAACAAACCTTTTAATAAAAGAGAAGTAAAAAAAAGCTCTCCAGAAAAGCTTCCACTGTAAATGATGCACTCAGACCCTCGCCCCTCTATTTGGATAAGTGCTGCTCTTGTGTTCACCTGTTGCATTGTCTGCAAGCTTCCTTTATCACACATGATTTTCTATTGAAATATTCTCTCTCCTGTTAGACAATAAGCCACTCATAATCAGGAATCAAGACATTAATCTTGATGTGCTTAGGTGCAAACACAGTGCTTACCAGTGGAAGGTAAGCAATAGATTTTTGTTCTTTACTTACTGTTTTAAAAATAAATTATGTCACTTGAAGTAACCCAGGACTATGAAACAATGTCAACAGAGGTATTTTTTTGAGAGTGAAAAATACAAGTTAGTATCTAAAATGAAACTGCAGAAAATGCTTTTGGGACTTCAGTTTTCAGGTGCTCTCTAAGCTTCTAATGCTTTGTTTCTCTTTTGGAATCATACTAAAGGTGGGTGCCCATGTTATATTAATGTTCACCTGTCCACACACCTCTAAAAGCACAAAACCGTGATGATAACTTACATCAGGCAGTCCTGACCTAAGTTTGTTAATACCAATAAAAATTTACTATTGTCAAAGTCCCTGTGAGTATAGAGCTCTTCGGTCTAACCTCCCACCAACCTCCTGTTGTTTGGAGGTTCAGCCACAACGTCTTTAGTTCTTGACATTCATCCCTCAATTTCTAATCTTAGCATTTCTCACATGCCATTACCTCTGCTTGGTGGATTTTCCCATCTCTTTCTATGGCTGGGTCTATTTCATCTTGCCATGTTTGGATAAAATATTACCTCTTGAACAAAACCTTCCCTTTTTCTTCCCTTGGCACACACAGTTTCGTCTTTTTATCCATGACTGAGCCAAGACCTTCTATGTACATATTGTCTTTACTTATGTCTGATCTGCCTCCCCTACTGTAATGAAAGGTCATAGTGACAAAAACCAGGACTTTCTTTCTTTTTTTTTTTTTTTTTTTTTTTTTACAAAATTCATATATCTCATTTCTATAGTAGTGTTTGGTACAAGCATGTTTTTAAAAAATATTTTTAGGTAAATGAATTCATGATTTCACTTGAACAGATCCTCATATAACATATCAAAGTTTCCCAATCACAGCACTATTGACATTTTGGGCCAAGTTATTCTTTCTCATGTGAATTGTAAGGATGTTTAGTAGCATTCCTATCTTCTACCCAGTAGATTCTAGGAGTAGCCACTAGTTGAGACAAGCAAAAATGTCTCAAGACATTGCTAAATGTTCTCTGGGTGGCAAAATTGTCCCTGACTGAGAATGACTGCTACAGATCCAGACAATAAAATAAGGTCAACAACGAGGCAAGACATCTGAGTTTCCACCTCTAGCTGTTGTTCCAAATGACTGAGATTTTTATCTTCCACAGATGAGCATTCTGGGAAATGTTGAGTTTGGATCAGCCAATCTACATGGAAACTTAAGTTCTGAGGCTACTTTTATAATATTGACTAACAATAGTAATAGAGCAGCACTTGCACAAATCAACACTACTGAACCCATAAACACGCTAGTGCCAGCCACTGAGCCAAGTGCTTCATGGATGTCAAATGATTTAGTCTTACACTGTTCCATGGAGTGTGCACTGCTATCCAGGTTTACTGAATGGCATTGAAAAACAGAGGGTTCAACTGAACTGACCAATGGGAGAAAGCTACTAAGTGAAGAGGACAGCACTGGGACTCATGCAGAATGACCCCACAGTCTGCTCTGTCAAGGTCCTATTATATGGCAGCCACTGGTCAAGCTACTCATCCTCGTGCAGCTATTGACAGGAAATGGGGTTAGTCTGAGCTGAGACTTGATCCAACTAGAAAATACTCGATGTCAGTGGGTATTTCAAAGAATTACAGGGATAAATGATTATTAAAATATCCAAAAAAGTTTCATATTGATATGTAGAAAGGACAATATTGCTAAAGAAAATATATGGTTAAAATACATATCTTCTGCTTCTTTTAACTTTTTTATATGGCTGATAAAAAAATAATAATTACATACGTGGCATGCACTTTTTTGGTTTACATTGTATTTCTATTAGGCAGCACTGGTTTGTTGTCCTTATCATTTCCACTCTGAATCTCCTTCACTTTTTCCATACATTGGGTATAATAATAATAATAATAACAAGGAGTCTATATAGTTTAGTACTGAGTTCTCAATGGTATCCTGCATATGGTCTTCATAAACTGTGGAACTCTCTCCAAACATTGGTTTTTTAATAAAATGATTAGAAATTAAAAACTAGTTCTCTGGATGTTAGACTATCAAGTAACATTCTAATTGTGATGACTGAGTGTTCCCAATAGTAAGGTATGGATGCAAATATTCATAGCAGAAAAGATAATTGAGAAAATAAAAATCCACAAACTATGTTTCTGTCTATAATTAAAAAATAATGAGACAAGATACAAGGTACTCTAAAATCCCTCTAAATGTACCATACTGTACATCTGGAGTTGGACATGGATTTCAACCCACCTCTTTCATTACTTATAGTTTTGCCTTAACATCTACAACCTTGGTTTCCTCATTTCTAAAATGGAGATCATAACACTGAGCTGAATGAGTTATTGGGATTAAATACAATAGGTCAATAAACAACTTGGTACAATGTCTCCCAAAAAATGTTATTCAGAAAATAGGTTATGTTGCTGTTTCCTTTTATTTTCATCATTATATTACTATTATTATTACCAGAGCTACGACTATTATAATTATGTCAGGGCTTGTGTAATGTTCCTATCAGCTATCAATCATAAATTTTGAGTTCACAAAAGTAAACGAAATAATTATGAAATGAATTAATAAAAGTATTGTAGTATATGAAATAATATATAATTAATTTTCATTGGACATTATTACTTTTCAGATATCTAATCTTTGCTTTTAATTAGAGTTATTAATTTGCTTAACTGGATGAGTCATTTTTAAATAAACTGCATTTTTTTCCTGAGCATTTAAAATATAATACTGCTCTTAATGGTCATTTATTATTGACAAAGTACTTTTTTGAGAAATACCTTTGATTATTGTGAATAATGAGATTAATTGGTTATGGTTCATTCTCCTGGTAATAAGTTCATGCTAAGAGGTGGTCAGAAATATACACACAATGTGAAATTTGAATTTTAATGCAACTAAGCATGAGATTTATTAGTCTTGAGATTAATCCTGGTCTTGAGATGTATTCTAAAAGAACTATTAAGGATTATTATTGGCTTTCTTTTCCCTGCCCACGCTACAGGTAATCTGGAGCTGTAATCTGGTTATTTGAAAAGAGCATAAATGAATGCTCTTTTCTCTGTGTTTTGGGGCCAACCACCATAATAGCAGACCTAATGGACATATAACTTAATATCTAACAAAAGGATCATCACAAATAATAAGCAAAAAATTAGTGTGCTCAAAAACATTCCATATGAATTTTATAATTTATCTACACACATGATTTTAAACAATTCAATTGAAATTATCACTATTATTAATAATCAAAGTTAGATAAAAATAGCATAAAAGAGAGGTAAAATGCTTTTAAACAGTCAAAATAACCCTAATTTCTTCTGCTTTGTAGTCTTTAGTATAAAAATATAAATATCACAAAAAAGCTATATTTTAGTATGTATCACAAAAGTAAGCTAAAACCAAACTAAAATTGAAGGGTCTATTTAGAAGTTAATACACAGCAAATGTTTAAACTTAAGGACTTATAACCTACTACAGCCTTTATATTATGCTACATTTCTAACAACATAAAATTCTACCCTGAAGTGTAGGATCTTTCAGGTTAGTAGGAAATTGTCTGATTCTCGGGAATGAGAGATCCTCTACTCCCAAGTATCTGAGATCCAACATCACCCTCTCTGGTTGCATATCTACCAAATCTGTATAAAAAGGGAGAATAAATACATATATTATATGGTCAGAAGCTAATGGTTCTTAACTATTGTTGATCTACTTTGAGAATTTGAAGGGTTCATTTTATAACAAAAATAGATCTAAATAGAAAATAGTAACACTGAATAGATTCAGTGTTTTATAACTAAATATGTCAGGAATACAAAATGTTTCAATATTAAAAAAAAAAATGTCTTAGTATCATTACCATTCCAAACACAGAAATAGTAACTTCAAGTCTGACCCACTGATATTAAATACAAGTCTGATTAGTTTGTTAAATTCTGGCTTATATTGCCATTTTTGGCTGAGTCCTCATATTACGACAAATTAGACATTTTATTGAAAAATTTTACCCTCAGGTTAGAATCTTATTAAATTCTAAGTAGAAATAAACACATTCATAGTAGAAGTATGGCTTTGTTTAAAAAAAAACAACACATTATTTCCTTTTACTAGCTAGAAGAAATAGTTCTTGGATTACAGTCATAGATGCAGGTTTTGTGATCACAGATCCCCTGTTTCCAAATGAAATATGTTGGAAATGTTTAATTTTTATATTTTAGTAACAGTGAATTCTTCAGCATATATACTTTTCCTTCACATTTGTAGCCCATTTTCAATGCTTTTAAAATTAAATGATTGACAATTTCTTTTTATTTTCTCTTCTCTGTTCAAAGCTTTTGCCCTGTGGAAAGACCATGAAAGGCAGCTTACTCTGGGGGAAGCGAGGCGGGTTGTCATTTACATCTGTCAGCGTGATGTTCACCGTGGTAGTCCCTGATAAGCCTCCCATCTGGCCGCCCATATCTTTGGCCTGGATTACCACTTGATATTGTTCCCTGTTTTCTCTGTTCATGTTTGGTAAAGCAGTCCTGATGATACCTTGAAGAAAATATAAAAAACTTTTGTTATCATCATTAAAATCTCAGCTAGTAGCTAAGACCACAAAATTTCTATCTAGTGATTTTTGAAAGACAAAGTATATTTTTTTGCTATTAATTTTAATTGTCTAGAAATTGCAAAAGTGGTTCAATGTAAATATTTTACCCTTTGTGTGTGTGTTTTGTATCACCTGAAGAGGGCCATAAGTGCTATATAGTGACCTAAACCCATAGATTAAAAAACATAAAAACAGATATATTTCCATCACCTCAATCATTCAACTTCGAATTCTTAAATCTTTAACTGTGGCATCATCACTCTTCTGGAAGTATTACAGTTAATGTTTTGTTCTTATTTTCCCACCTTTTTTCTACTTATAAAGATCATAAAGATTTAAATTAACAAACACTGATTCATGACTCCTGACCTGTTTCAGGCTCCACAGAGAAATATGGCTGCCCTTGAAGGATGCTGTAAATGACTCTGGCACTGTTTCCGTAGGAAGGGTCATCGGCATCTGTAGCTGTGACTTGCACCACAGAAGTACCTGAAGTATCCAAACTCAGCTTAGTTCTGCACAGTACCAGAAGGAGGAGCAAAAGCACTGGTTTTCATGGAAGACTGGAATGATTTTGGCTTTAATAATGACCTCTTAAAGAAATATTTATGTATAATTGACATGAAAATCATGTTTATACTGTTATTACAGGAAAACTGTGAATTCAGCTACAGAGTTAGCCAACAGGTATATTTTCATGCATGCATAGATAATGCTACAATATATCAGATTATAATAAATGCAGTTACTTTACAAATGCTAAGTTTTGATATTTAAATTCATTTTCACATAATAGATTTGTTTAGTGTAAAGGGCATATCTGATCACAAGGGAGTAGGTGTGCTCCTCTTTCCTCCTCTCCACTAATTAACTATAAAAATAATTAACATCTGCTCTAGAATACAGTTTTATGAATAGATTAAATTCTAAATTTAGAAACAATCCAAGATGATCCCAAGTTCCATGAACTATTAAAAGCTATTTAATAAAGTTCAAGGAATATAAAAGGGCTTTACAATAAAGCAATTGCCAAAGTCCTTGGGATTTAGTGAAGTAAATATTAAATAATAATCCCAGAACAATGCTTTTGAGAAATGCAGAGTTGAAAATGTGCTGCTACAACTGTTTAAAGAAAAGTATCAGAATTATTTCATCGGTTTATATGACCTCTCCCACGTTTGAGAAATAAATCTATTCTACTAAGTCTAAATATACATCTCTAAAAAATGTTATCATTGTTTCCTGATATTTACTCTTTTTGTCAATCTCTATTTAATAAAAAAAAAAAAAGCAGTCTGAACTTTTTTTGCTTACAAATACAACTTTCATTTATTTCCAATAAAAAAGAAAATTCCATTATCTTGAACGTTATACTTACAGGTTTTTCACGCCTTCTGTTTTACAGATTCTACAACCTAATTTTTTAAATTCTGTATCAGTATGTGATTATGGAATTTCAATTGGGTTATTTGAATAACAGATTTATATCAGCAAAGTTTTAGATATAACGATTATAATTAAAAGATGTTTCAAAATACTTAATATGAAAGAATCAGATAATCTAATCAATTCCACCTTTTGTATTATCTAGATAACAAATTCTTTAGATAAATTATAACTAGGCTGTGGATGCAAAGACTCTACAACTATAGTGTTCTGAATGTTTGTATTTGAAGTCAGATTTTTATACAGCTTCTATACACATCTGTGTGACAAAGATATATTTCCATAGTTTTTTTACTGAAGTTCAATGATATTTTCTTGGGTTTTTGAGGGAAATATCTACTTATTTGTAAAGACTTAGAAGTCCATAGCATGTAAGAAATTATTAATCTTTTTTTCTGACTCATTTTCTACATGAGGAAATTAAGTAAGTACTTTTGGAGGGGATCAAAGAAAATGTCAATTGACTGATTATAGTATTTTAACAATTTCTTGATAATCATTTTTTATACTTTTGGGATACCATGATAAATTTTATAAATGAACTTACCCACAACGGACATTTCTGGAACACTAGCTGTATAAATTTCTTCTGGGAACGTAGGCTCATTGTCATTGATATCATGGATTTTGATCACAAACTCAGACTCTGGTTCTACTGGTCTCAAAGTTCTTCTGTTAATAGCTTGTGCACGCAGAGTATAAAAGGCCTTTTCTTCCCTATCAATTCTTCTTGTGGCATGAATGTCACCTGTTTTTTCATCAATAATAAAAAGAGTACCTGCTCCATCTCCAGATAAAATATATTTGAGTGATCCATCTCCTTTATCTTGGTCTGAATGAAGCTAGGGGAGATAAAAAAGAGCACATCCATGATAATGTCTAAAGGTACATAATGCTGAAAGAATTCAAAGTCTCTCGTGTCCCATCACTGAATAATGGGGTCAGTTATCTTAGTTCCTGAAATGAGAGTTGAATAAGTACGAACACACTCATCCATATATCTTAAACAATGAGACTAGCATCTCACATATCAGTATGATTTTTACTCTAAATGGGAAAAAGTAATAAAAATAAACACAGTTCCCTTCTTTGCTTTGCTTGGTAAATAACCATTTTCATAGGCAATTAACTCCTGACAAAGATGTATGTCATCAGTCTTGACATGCCTGTGTAAACATTACTTCTCTCATCTCTTTCAGTGAGTGAAAAATTCTTTTACTTTCATATTTTGAGGAAATTCTTATAAACTTGTTATTGCATTTCCATTGGAGAATCAGTGATGTCTTAACTGTAAGACAGGCAAAGTTGTAAGAGACATAGCTCCTATGTTAGAAACACTATGTATTAATTTTTGGTTCACACGGGCACACACACACCACAAAAATGATGGCCCCACAGATATATCTGGGACTCGGGGAAAGAGTACAAACAGATGTCTATATTTTAAAATTATAAATCAAGTTAATAAATTCTACAACAAAATGTGCTCTATATAGGCTCCTATTTACCTTATGAAGTCTATCTTCTTAATAACCTTAAGCAAGTTTTGTACAGGAAAAAGGAAATACAAAGCATGTTGGTTTCTTGCCCTTTGCCTATGCCCACAACACTAATCTTCAGGAATTCACTCGTCATGTCGAAGAGTTTTGCAAGCATTCATGTGGACACCTCAGCCCAGTGTGTCACCCATCCAGGGCAAATGCTACCCAGGATTCCATGTTTTCACGGGCAAATTCTATCTATGTTGTATTTTAACAGATGTTCACTAGGCCTGCCCCCAGGATTAAGGATGTATATAACAGTGGGTATGTCTGGCCTTTGGGCAACTGACGTGTAGAAGAGAGCCTCCTTGGACCTAAAAGTAAGCTCAAGGATGTCTGGGCAGGGAATAATGGGTCCCAATTATCTTGAGTATGATCTGGAAATTGATGTGTAGATTCCAGATATGAATATCCCCTGCGCTCCATGGAATTCTTACCCTGAACAGTGGGGCTTAGGGGTTGGAGTGACAGAGCACGGCTTTGTAAAATACAAAGATTGTAAGTTTTTCTTTAATTGTACCATCCAACCAATAAACATTTTCTATGTTGGGATCATAGTTTAATTATTTGCAATAAGAGATTATGTCTTTAAAATTTGGGGTTTTTTATCAGATAAGAAATATGAAAACAATGTGTAGATTTTCTAAACTTCTGTAAGGCATTTATTATAAGTTAGACATCAATGAAAACTTTTTTTAAAGAATTCATGTAAAATGTAGTCATAAATCAGAATGGGCACACTGATGCATAATTAAAAATTAAAAATTGAAGACAATATCCTTCAATTATACAAAAAAATACAGAATTAGATATTCATCTAAATAAGGTTTGGTGTTTTGCTTTAGATTATTTTTATCAACAGACATTTTCATCTAATTGCATATAGAAATTTAAACTGATTACTTTCTATTTAATACAGAATTTTACTTCTTTATTTAAAATTTCTTTTTCTTTTTTGAAGCATATGTCAGTGAACTTGGCTGTGGAAACATTTTTACATGAACATGAAACTGTTTAAAATAAATACATGTTAGAAACACACACCTATGACTAAGATGTTGTATTACTGGTTATTGTTGGGTCTATAAAAGCAGTCTACTCTTTAGTTAATGGTTTTTTAATACTTAGCATGAAGCCATCCAATTTGGGTCAAACTCAATTTTTCTGATTTCTGGACAAATAACTCATTATTAAGATATAATGAGGGGCAAAAAAAAACCCCACTGGATATGTTCTTTAAAGAAAAAGAGAAGTCAGATAACAAGTAGCTTTTTACTGCATTTTTAGCTATTCATAAACAACAAGATAAGGTTGAGAAACTCCAGAACTCTCTGCTTTTAGCTTAAAAGTGCTCAGAAGAAACATATGACTGTGTTGTCCAGGGAACCACTTTAAAAAAGTCACAAGATTGATGCTTTTTAGTTATTGAAAATACACATAGTTGCCAGGAAACTTTCCATTTACATGAATGTGCAACCGTGGCAATTTTCCAAATGGCAAATATAAGCACTGCATATTTCTTATTCTGTCTGGGAATCAAAACAATTCAAGAAAAGATTATTGATATTATCAATCATTTGATCAGATAACTGTGGTTTGTAGTAAACAGTTATGACTTTTATTGTCTATTCATTCAACAATTTTAATTGAGAAATGTGTGTTTATTCTCATAAGAATCAAGTACTTCTAAAAGTAAATCAACAATTCCATTCCTCTGCTATGGAAAATTCAAGTGCTGTGTGTAATAGAAACTCACAGGACATCTCTAAAGCTAGCTCACAGCAGAATGTGCAGCTTTCCTACAGTACATAGCACTTAAACTACCAGATAAAGAATATGTAGAGGTTTAAACTTGGGAAATTTTTGGCATTTTACAAATCATACAGACCACTAGATGAATACGGAATGTAGATTTGGAGTGGGGAAGGATACAGAGAAAGATGGGAATCATGAAGACCAGTTCTGCTATTCTAAACAGTTAGACATGCAAATAAAAAAATCGCTAGAATGGTGAGATCTAATTATTATAAAGTTCAGTTTTGAAATATAAATCACAGCAGGATTTTTACCTTCACTTATACACAGCAAGAGAACCTTGCATCGTGTAATTGTGGAAGTTTCTGTGAGATTAGAAAGTTGCACATGGGGGAACGAAATCAGAGAGATGAGGGTTAAAATCTGGGCTGTGGGGAACCAGAAATGAGTCTGAAGGAGGGTCACGTGTTATGATGAGTGCTAGGTGTTATAGGCCAACTAAGAAATGAAAGGATTTCTACTTCCTTATAATTAAGGGAAACAAATGAGACCTACACGTTTATAAGCTTTGGTCTTGAAAATGAGTGCTGGGTGTTATATGCAAAGAATCATGGAGCACTACATCGAAAACTAAAACTGTATAGTGACTAACATAACATAATAAAAAAAAAAGGGAAAAAAAACCACCTGTATAATGCATTTTTCTTAAACCATTAGAGCTTGTGTAAAATTTAAAACAAAACAAAACAAACATGTCTTCCTTTCTCACAGAGCACTAATACTAGAATAAGGGACCCAAATGACCACATTTGGGGGCTTACCATTGGCCTGTGTTTATTAAAATATTATTTAAATAAACATGTTTGGGAACTGGACAGGTAAAGAAACCGCAACAGATATTTACTATGAGGCAGAGAGATGTATTTCTAGACCCCCAAGACCTGGGGAGTTGAAACTGTGATTGAAACCGTCCCAAGACAAGAGCTAACTCATAGCAGGTATGCTGATGGTACTGATTTCTTAACAGTTACAGAACAAGACCGCTGGACAAAATTCTTGAATTATATTCTCCAGCTTAAGTGTTCTCTCTTCTCTTTAACTTGCTCTTTATTATTTTAATTATCTCTTCTTTTGTATATTTTTCCCACCCTTACCCTGGTACAATGTCTCTGCTCCTCATTCCTTATATGCATGATAAAATTTTATTTCACTTCTGACTCATTTACTAAGTAAGCAAATATCAGACCAGGGTTAGTTAGTCCTTCTAATAATAGCTTTCTCATTACTCTTCTCTCTCTTTTTAAATTTGGGTGTTAGGTACCAATACTTGGATTTATTAATCCTTAATTGAACAAAACCAGTTGTTTATGTTACCGAGAAATACGATTATGGATCATGTGCCAAGTATCTTACAGCATCCACTTTGAAATAACTTTTGTATTGATTTGACCTTGTGCTATTTTATTATGTGAGACATTAAGTTTTCTTTAAACAGAGAAAAAAATGTCAGAATATTGTGGCTTTAGTTCCTCAGTAACACCTGTTCTCCAGTGTGAAACATTTGTGCCACAAATCTTTAAGAAGAATTTTATGTTAATACTGACCTTTTCTTTCCTTGAGGAAAGCCTATTAAAAATTCACAACCTGCTGTGTTCCTTGTAAATTCACAAGCAGATAAAGGACATGGCAAGATACATGACAATTAATGAAAATAGAACAACTTGGTCCTGTGCTGCACATTTAAAAGTCATTTTCCTATTATTTAACTTTTCTATTTAGATGTGGTTAATTATATAACCCATTTGCTTGTAGTGAGTAGCTTGCTTAATAATTAAAACTAAATAACCCATTGATTTTAAAGAAATGCTTGAACCACAAATTACTTAATGAAAGCCTGTTAATTTTGAGTGTGACAAATTTCTGATAAATTTACATTTCATGTAAAGTGTCATCTTAAGATATTTGTCCAAAACAAAGTTTGTAACCTAATTGAGGTCTCACAGCTTATCTAGTTTAAGGCCATCTTTTTTTTTTTTTTTTTTTTAAGATGAAAAAACCGAGATATGATCAGTTTTGGTTTTTTGTTTGTTTTATGACACAGAAGTTAAATTAAAATTATACCTCAGGACAGCTGTTATGTTGGTAGAATCTTTATCTCTCAAAATTAGTTTTTTTTTTTTTTTTTTTCAGTTCCTCACATTAAGAAATATTATCTAAAAAAAAAATCAAAGAATCTGTCTGTAAAGTACAGGAAATTTAAATAACTTATTACCAAAAGAATAACTGATAAAAGATTTTACCTTGTGTTTTCACCCTTGGCTGCAAGAAAATGAAGAACAAGTTTTAAAAAAGTAAAAAACTGCCAAGAAAACTAATTACTACTTGTTCAGAGGAATCTGTATTGCTGTATGAGATTCTTTCTCATTCAGAATATTGATATCTTTTTGGATGTTGGTAATTGTTAATATTTAATTCCATTCCAAAAACTGGGAAAAGGCAGAAGAGAACATTTGAATTATGTTTATAAAATCATTCATAATTTTATT